GCGAGTGTGGCCCGCCACTAAATATGGTCATGCCCCTTGTCGGGATCCATTGCTCGACAAGGTTTTCCAGAAGAGGCGAATGAACCGACGACTGGTCACCGGCTCATATATAGAGATAGGTGAGAATCCTTGGGGCTTTTCTCCATGTAGAGGGACGCCTGAGTGGCGACAATAGTGAGACCTTGAAAATATTGACGGTCCTTACTGGGCTAGAGGCGGACAGCCTGTTTACCCGAGCACCGCTGGAGTGAAAAATGTCGGCATCATCCAAAGCCCGTAAGCCGACTCAGCCTTTGACACAACGTTTTCACAAGTAGAGTGATGGATGAGTGGAACCTACTACCATCTTCAATAATAGACTATAGGACAGCCGACGAGTTCAAAAGGCAATTCGATGGGGTCTGGATCAGCCTCTATCCCGTGATTTGGTAGAGCGCCTACTACTGAGAGTAGCTGTTCCATGCTGCCTATTCTCGAATAACCTCCCGTTTGAGATACGGACCCCATAAGAGAGGCTGTTCCAAACGAACAAATCGACTGTGGTCAAACAGTCGACAAGAATTCGAAGCTCCGGAAGAACGTGGTTCCGGCTGGAGCAAGAATCTGAACGCTCCTTGGGAGAAAGCCTTTATCGTCCTGTGCCACCTGACCTGACCTGACCTGTTTTCGGTGCGAAAAGTCGCTCCGGCCTGTCAGCAGGAAGGGGCCCTAACCGGTCCCTGCGTTGGAGTGTCCTGCCGAGATATGACTCCAGGTTTTCTCCAGAGTTTCATCAACTACTTTGGGTATCCAGTTTATGCCCCATACCGCTCTGACCAGCTCGNCCAGCTCGACCTGCTTGATGTTTCCATAGTGCCCTACTAGTTCGATTGCCGATTGGTTGTGTCTGACTTCTGGCGGTAGTTGCAGGACTCTGTTAAAGCTTCTCTCCAGGGGATCCTTCACCGTTATGGATCTGATGTCTATCGGGATTATTGTGATCACTAGCTCCAGTATGGATAGGTTTTTATATAAGACCTCATATTTGGCTCATTTTGGATCAGTTCTGCCGTGTACTCTCCCTTTATGGATTTAAAACCGTAGAATCCCACAAACGTGCCAAAGCTGGTTATAAACTTGGATATCGTTCTTGTATATTTCTTGGGATTGACCAACTAATACCCGTCGGCTACGTTCTATATTCTGAACAGCTAGGCCAGTTGAGTTGTTGAATTGCCAAATATTTTCATCACACAAAGTTTATTGTTAGTTGAAAACACCAAATCATAAAGAACAGGATATTTTTAAGAGCATTGTATGACACAACAGTAGTTAAATTATGGTTTATCATCAATGACCTCTAATTCCACTGTGAAGTATGAAATCATATTAGTATATCACACGACTTGGATTCCATGCGTCCTTCAGAATCGGCCAATAATATGTTCTACAAATGAAAGACTGACGAGGAAATAGGATGTTTTAAATTTACGTTAATATGTCCCAGTGGCTCTTAATTTGAACGCATTCATTGTAACGTGCAGCTGTAGCGCGGCTATTTTGATTTGACTGAGTCGTGTGCATGTCTCACTGGACCTTTGGTTCATGTTGGTTTGTTTTATGTACCTTACAGATGGATCTTAAAGGCCCTCTGGAATACCACGAACACTGTTCCTCAGTGACTCCCAGGAGAGCGCAGGAGCACAGGTGATTGATCGTGTTAGCCTTCGTAATATCGAGTGCCTGGCCTTGGCAATAGATTACGGGTATTCGTGTTTCGAATACCTGCCCCAGTGTATCCTCGCGGCTAAAAGGTGACAAGCCACATAACGCCGTAAGCTTAGAGTGCCGTTGCGCACTACATCATAGAACGTACTTCCCTGTCTGCGCTGAAGAACCGTTGAAGTCTACCAAGACACTCATACGTGATGATTTTCCAAAATGATGTCAATTGGTGCAATTTTGTGGGAGAGATGCAATTTTTGATGACTTGACTTATTATATCTAGGCAAATCTTTTCAGTTGCTCTATTCATGAATTGGTTCTCATTTTATCCACAGAAGAGACTCAGATTTTGCAGGAATTCAACCTCTGAACGTGCACCGTAGTGAGGCTATTTTGTGTCGATTGTGAGTCTTACTGGACCTGTGAGTCATGTTGGTTCGTTATCAGATGCTCGTCGTTTATGACCTCACAGTAACTTTATCTGAACTATAACCTTTTTTAAATTATTTAGTATTTTCTGTCCAATTAAATACAATCTATGGTTTCCCTAGGTCATTTTTAAATGTCGAAAACATGCGCTTTTGTTTCAACTTGAGACCTTGATAGTATAACTGTCGGCAAGCGACGATTAATAAACGTCGGGATAATTTTTTCTTCCGCCTTCTTGACGTCGCTGGGATTCCTAACGTTACATTCCAAAATTGGCTTGACGAGCCTTCTTAGAAATGATGCTGCCATCCTCCAATTACCATAAATCGCAAATATCTCCGTAATTAGGGATCATTCCGTTTTATTTCATTCCGAATCAGAATTTACCGTCATCAGATCTAGCCGCAAGATGCAGTTGCAACTGAAAATTGTTTAGAAATTAATTTCCAACCGATACTGAAATTTTACTTAGACGACTGTACTAATTGGTGAATATCTTAATAAAAATAGCTCACTTCGTTCTTTTTTACCTTTCCAAGTGTCCTAACCCTATATTAGTTCAAAATACAGTCGCAGCGTTCCGGCAGTACTGTAGTTCTTATATAAATTCATATTTAAACCTTGAATTCCATCATCTGAGACTTATAATGAATGTTAATTTATTGTAAATAAAAAATTTTCCATTCTCTTTAGTTACCTCTGAACTCATTATGGTCTAGGTCAACCACTACTGACGAAATGCGAGTACCCGCTACATTCTGAACCATTCCATCCGCTGAGTATGAAAGAATCAGGAAAATCAATGCTACAAGGCTTACTTATTATTATTTAGAAAAAATCTACACTAGAATAAATGCTATTGTCTATACAAAACCACAAGTGTTTCACAGGGACCCGTTGCTTCAGTTTCGGTTAGACCTGTACTATTCTTCCGATTGTATTTCGACTACTCTAACAATATAATGATATAATGATATAGTTGTTCAATCCATGAGTTGAAATTTTCCTACTACGATATCCAGTCCGCCATTCATCTTTGGAATTCATGGCTAAGTCTTGACTACAGATAGCCAAATGTAGATAGAGATTAGCAACTAAAATGGTCTAAGGACTAAATTTTACGCTGTAACCGAAAGGTAGTAAATACGAAGGTCATATCAATCTCAGTATCGCTGAAGGCACAATTCTAGAAAATTAAGTACTTCCCCAATCTGATCAAACTTCAAATAGTTTGATGACCCTATTATAAAATGGTCAGTTCAGGGAATATCCCATTATAGAAATGTATCATCAAAGGTGGCTAGATTGCTAGTGTTAAAATAAACAACATTTGGAGCTCTCGTCCATTCCAAGTTTTGCGTTCTAAGCGTGGTGATTTTCGCGCAGTGATTTAGACACTGTTATCAGCTTTGGACCCTGTGGTCCGAGGTTCCAGCCCCGCCGCCGCCATCCAACTTAAGTGGTAGGCAGCTTTACCGTCGCCCGATTCTATATCAAACCTAACTGAGGTGGCCTTGTGTGGTTCGTCACTCCAAGTCCCGGGGCTTGGGTTGCCGGTTACCATCATGGAGCAGCAGGTCCGCGTGACTCTGGGGTCCGCTCCATCTGCTGCTCATCACACACTGGTGTGTAATAAAAAGATCTATTCTGTAAAGTCCCCTTTGATGAAGAGTAAAACACCTATCCGTCCGTGAGCAAACTACTACATACACTATTTTTATAATATCACCATTCTAAATCAGTCCATAAATATCTCCTAGGATTGAATAAGCTAGGGTTTAGTGATTTACATAAATTGAAAATTTTAATTCGATGGAAAAATGTCTCAGACTGTCAAACAAAATTCCTTGGGCTCAGCCCCATTAGGTTGTTTTCTTATTTTAGTAAATGAAATTTTTTTATAGAGGAAGTGCTGGTTGACTGCTTCCATTC